ACAGATTTTGTTTTCCATATAACATTTTCCAAACGCTGCCTCTCCTGCAGTTGTATTTCTTACCTTTTCTTGTGTTAACAGTTTAATAAATTCTTTGCAACAGGGAGCGTGCTATCTCTCTGTTCACAAGCATACTGAACTCATATGCTATAACCGATGTTTAGTAATAATTTAAAATCCAGTAAAGTTAAAAACTGAATGGTACTTGAAGGTAATTTAGCTCTTTATTAAATTCTGGAGTATGTAATTCTGTACCTGTCCTATAGAATATGGCAGTATTCAGAGTGCAAAGAGCTGCTACCTCTTAATAAGCTGTCCCTGGAATGCCTCTACATTCTTCAGTAGCACTATGTTCTTACTTCAGGACAAAACAATATCCAGCATTATAAAGAAAAGTGGTAGCCCTAGTAATTCTGAACACTGACAAGATTTGCAGTTAGAATTTGCTTTGGTGCTAACCTGTGCCTTGAGTCTTTTGGGTTTGCTTTCAGATAGGCTGTAGAAGGGACCTCTGGAGTTCAGCTAGTCCATCCTCCCCCTCACAGAAGGCCTATCAATAACCATAGGTTAAGTCAGCCATGCTTATGCCTAGCCAAGTATTGAAAATCTCCAAGGATAGAAAGTCCCCAGTCTCCTGGGCAACCTGTTCCAAAAATGTGCTACCCTACTAAATGAAAGTAGTATGTCAACCTAAGTGAGACAACGGATTATTCAGCTCGGCATCTAACTTACCAAGTGGTCTCCGTAGGATGTTGCCGATGGAAAGTGATGAGTTCTTCCAACAAGCAGAGTAAGGACTTAACTTCAACACCGATTTTTCTTTCCTTAGCAAGGTCACACTCTCTCCATTGCAATAGAGGCAGTCTGGGAAGACTACAGCAGGTAAAACACAGATGTCTACATGTTGATGGACAGGATAGCCATTATCTTCAAATTAAATGTCTACGTGCACAACACTGGGCATGCGATATATGTATTCATATGTGTATAAAGTATTAATTATATGCTGCAGGTATTATTTGCAAGAGAAGTAAAATCTATTGTGAAATTAATTCATCTTGAAATTCACTAATTATAAGAGATTTTTTCTTTACTAAGTGTTTTGGTTTCTTTAACCCAGATATGGTGACATGGTGCCGAAGACAATAGCTGGCAAGATTTTTGGTTCAATATGCTCCCTGAGTGGGGTCTTGGTCATTGCTCTGCCAGTTCCTGTAATTGTCTCCAACTTCAGCCGTATCTATCACCAGAATCAACGAGCAGACAAGCGCAGGGCACAAAAGGTGAGCTCTTAATTTCCCTCCTTTTGTTGTTGAACAGTAGATAAAATATGACTTCCTATATGCTGAGCATCTTCAAAGTATTTTTTTTTCTTGGCAAAAGGACTATTATGTATGTGCTACATGCCTAGCCCATGTCCTAAATGCAAATACTGTGTTATTTTTAGTGGGAAAAAAAATCGAACAAAAATGGTTCATTTATATTTTCTGTCAAAATTTACACATCTATTATTGCAGCAATTCATCCTACATGTTAAACCACATCTAGTATTTTCAGTCAATAGCTGCAGTCCCACCCACTGAAGATTTTCCTGTTTTTCAAGCAGACTTTCTTTCCACCAGTCTTCTGAGGAGGGGGAGGGGGGAAGACTAAAAAAAAAACCAACCCCAACACTAATAATGATTTCTAATGTCTATCCTAACAGCTTGCTTCACTAATCCATGTGTTTAATTCCCAGATTCAGTCTCTGGGGAATCTCATTATTGGGGAACTTGTCTCCTCAGCTCCAGTTTGCTTAAAAAACTTCAGAAAAAGAGCTTAATGAGGAAAGCCTGAAAACAAAAGTTGTTTTTTCCAGATTCCTTGATTTGCTGACTCTCTCACTAAAAGATCCACCAGATCTACAACAAAACAGTTTCCCTCCCTGACACATACGGGCACGGTCAGGAGCCAGCAGGAACTATTTATCAGGGGAGATGCAGCCATGCCTGGGCAGTCACCTTCATTTCCACATCACTGCCAAAACACTAGTCCTGATCCACTTCACCCAGCCCTACAATGTGAAGCAGCTCAGATAGCTTTCACTGGCACCTGACACCCTGATAAGGGAGCAGAGATGCACAACCTTCTGCCAGTGGCATCAGAAGGCTCTGGATGCAATACAGACCTTTCCAAAGCTGAGGTGTCAGCACTTGAGCTTTTTGTGGCCCCATGGTCTCCCTTCAGAAGCCCTGAGTCTCCAGTGGCTGAGGGAGAGCAGGATCACTGCTCGCAGAGGCGAGCAGGCGGGCCACGGCTGGGGACTACATACATCGACCAGGGAGTACAGGATGCCCCAAGTTGCATCTGCCTCATATACACAGCAGCACCAGGTGTAGAGATATAAAATGTTTGTGTGTTTATTTATGGCCTTTGACCAGAAAGGTCACCATTTTGACTGATCTCTTCATAGAAATGAAGTAAATGTACACAATGATAACATTCCCAAAATATCTTAAAATCTGGAGAAACAAGATAGATACATGACCAGAAAGCCATGGATAGGCTCAGGCTAAGATGTTGTACCCTTTAATGGCCACATCTCCAAAGAACACTGTCAGATGGGGAAAATGGCCATAAAAGAAATCAGACTTGGCACAGAAAGATCACACCTTTCTAGAAAACTGATATCAAATATATGCTGCTTCAGTGATCCAAATATAATACCTTACCTACCCTACTAATTCCACCCACCCTTTTGTCCCATGTGCTAGTTCCAGATGCTCATTCCCCAATCCCACAGCTGGAACACGCAGAGAATACGTCACTTCTACATTCCGTTGTTTTTCTCAAGAGCTTATCCACTTCTGTTTGCATAATGGCAGCGGACAGAGAAAGAACAGCATGTATCAGCCAGAACACAGTGCTTCATTACTGTGCCTCCGAGCATTGCGCCAGTCATGGATAACAGATCTGCTTGATCCTAGCAATCAATGTGCCTGTTCTGAGCTTTCATAAGAACTGCAGACACAACCAGCCTTACTTCAGATAGAAACTGTCTCCTACTGAATGTCACGAAACAAAGTTTTCTATGCCTGCTTTACACTTGCCAGGGAAAAAAGAGATGGACATTAGAAAATACCTTTCAAAAATTAGATTGTCAGACTGGTTGATATTCCCCATAATCTCTTCCTGAATAGAAACTGCTTGAGTTAATAACTGACTTGCAAAACAGTGAGCTCACTGTATGTTTCAAACAGGAATATGAAGTGATGAATGGCAATCCTGCCAAGCATCTTTTCCTCTGTTCCACAGAACAATGCCAACAATAAGGATGAGAGACTTCCTCTGACCATGTTTATGCCCTTCTTGGTTTGGAGAAACTGTCTTTGAGGTCTGATTAACTTAGCACTTGATGTGTGTTTCATTGATATCTCCCATTGCAAAGCTAATCTCTGTCAATCTAAAATGACTGAGATGTTGAACTGAGTATTGCTTTGACAGACTGAAATAAAAAAAAAAAAACATAAAACACTTCTTGGGTCCTCTGTAGCCTATATGTAGCAATATTTAGCTATGAAGTATAGCCTTGCATTTCACAGGAGGATTCTACTGCATTGTATAAAAATATTCAAGCAAAGAGGTCACATCATTGAAGTCTGAAATTTCTCCTTCGTTCAATACAATAGAAGCTATACAGTTTTCTAAAATAAATGTTTCCTGAGGCACCAACCTTATTTCGATTCTCTAAAGCTGAAGAATATAAGCTTGAAGCAAGGTGCTGTTTCACGGAGCACAGCATGAACTCCCGCAGGCGAGGGTACCTCCTGCTGGATACAACAGCTTCCACCTAACTGAGAGTTGTATATTTGAATTCTGCAACTTACTTTATCGATACTTCATACAGAAGTTTAATCAAGTTAGTCTTCAGAAAGGGCAAAATATTTGGTCTGTAAGGAAACTCAAGAGAAAGTTCTCCGGTGAAGAGCTGAAATCTAGTCCAAGAAGCACAGGCAATTTTCAGCAGAAAAATGTCGTCACTTATATTAGGCTTGTTCAAGAGCCATGTGACCATCAGTATATGCATTTACTGAATTCTGCACAGTTATTCAAGATTAGACAATTCCGTTTGTTTCTTTTTGGCAGAAAGATGATGCACATTAATGTTCAGGAGAAGATGGAAGAGAGAAAATTATTTATATACCATCTCATTTTGAATGCATTTTGAAGGAAGTTCTTGCTTCCAACGATGGAAATACATTGTTGTAAGAGAGACCTCAATATAAACAAAAAGGAGATGAAAACAAAGTAAAATAGATAGAATATTTTGTTCTGTCAGATAATAAGGTCCAAGGATCTGACCCATCCTGACAATAAATAAATAATCCAAAATAGATACTGGAATTCAGGGCAGAACTAATTATTCCCTGTATTCTTACTATGGTTTTTCCTCAAGATTTGTCACAACTGAGACAGTTTTGAAGAATCCTATTTGTGGAGCTTTTCTCAGCTAGAGACAACTTCAAGAGGCCAAGTTATTTTGGTTGCCCATCAGTGCCTTCAGGTGGCAAAGTTATGACAGATGTGTTGTGACTGGTCCATATATAAAGGAAAGTAAAGGAAGAAGAAGGAAAGGAAAGGAAAGCACAGGAAAGAAAAAAAAAAGATAGGTTTAGGTAAGCTTGGATACAATTTCCTATTCCATATTTGACAGGAATAAAAGATTAAGATACAGGTAGACCCTCACAGTGACAGATTCATTGGAATGACTATCAGGACAGGGAAGGGAAAGAAGGAGGCATAGCTGCCCTGCTGGAACAGGTGTCTGCTCCATTCCAACATGCCGCAGCAGGTCTTCTGATGACAATGTCCTCCTCAACCTGAATGAAGCATTCCTCGCCGTTTGTAGGGAAGAACCTTGTACTTGCTTAGCCAGCAAGTCCTAAGTGTGGGTCCATCTGCCCATTATTGTACATTACCTGATAACTGGAGGAGCCTTAATTTTAGTTGCCCAAGCACTTTCTCCCTAGAGTGACTTTGCATGGTGCCTCAACAGAAGACTGAAAACAACTATCAGTTCTAAAATCTGACTTCATACATAAAATTCAACCTGAATCTTTCATGTGAGTATGGTCTTCTACCTTTACATAGCAAAATATATCCTGAAGATTGGCTTGGCTTTATTATTTATTGATTGTACATGATGTATTTATCTGTCAAGTTATGAATAAATAGTTACTAGATAAATATAAATAGCTCTAGGATAAATTGCAACAAATGCTTAACAGCACCTGGCAGTCTAGAGCTGAACACTTGCAGTAGGGAACCCTGCTAGCCATTATGACTTCTTTAAATTAGATAGGCTATTAATCTCAGTGGGGTTGCAGAGACATAACTAACAGAATAACTTACCCAGGATTTTTGAATTTACCACAAAGGCACGTAAAACTTGTGTTTACTGAACAATGATTTGAATAAATTGTGAAAGCAAGGCACGACTCACCATATATATCAACCTTATTTAATTCCATATCCATTAATGTACAGAGTAAACAGCATTTTCTTCTCTACTGCATGCTGACATCCTATAAATTATTGCTAGCTAATTTGAAGTCAATTATTTGCAATTACTGAAAATTAGCGTGAAATGTGGGTTTGATTTTTCATTTGAAAGAAAACATATAGAATGGATTTATGAAAGGCCAAATTAAAGATGTTATAAAAAACAATTTAACTGATTTTTGGATTATTTAGGCCATTGGTCTAAACACCACCCAGCTGCTCACTCACTGCCCTGAAGGAATTCTTATCTTTTAATTGTACAAGATCATTAAAAAATAATAAATATAAGTTAAGTAACAACTAATTTTTGAGATTTCATAATAAGATAATTAAGTAGTCTGGAGAGCAGCAGTGGTGAGACAACAGGAGCTATCTAACTATTAATTCACCCAGGCTTCTTGCACAGCAAGTTGAAGAGAGGCTCTTGCCAAAAGTGATTCCCAGCATCACAGTAAGGCCTGCCCTAAAGTGTTCCTGGTAAAATCTCTCTCCTAATGCAGCTGGACAGCTAAGAGCAACTTGAGTGTTAAAAGCTGGATGCTGTAAATACCCCCCAGTGCTACACTTAGCACTATTTAAAACCTTGTGAAAATAAATGTTTATATTTCAAAAACTGACAGAGCTAGCTGTTGTTGAATAACAATGAATTCTCTTTGTAAGGTTTCTACAAATGCAGCCATAGACAAGGATCCACCTCCAAGTTGTAGAATTTGAAGCTGGAATAAAAAAGCGATTCATTCAAAAGAGAAACTCAGTGCAAATACATGGGATGCACTAAGAATTAGAGTTGATCATCTCTTTCTTTAGGAGGTTTCAGATGAGATGATTAATGTGGAATTTCATCAGAATAAGTAAGAGAATTGTACTTCAGTCCTAGACAATGTAAAAATTACCAAAATCAAAGTTTCACATTCAGTGGCTAACGGGGAATACCTCACAGCAGAGAGGATAATCTGCTGCCGGAGAACTTAATCCTTTCTTTTTTTGCTAGATACTACATGAAAGGGGAGAGTTAGTGAGGGCTTTGCAGTGGTTGAAAGGGGCAGTTATCACTCCCTTTTCTGTTGTACATGGCAGAAAATGCAGTTTGCAGGCTAAAGGAAAATACCACTCTTCTGTATTCACAGTTTTCCTGATGTCATCACATCATTTTGGTGTCCTTCATGGGAATTCAATTCCCAGTGCACAGCCCTTAAAATCCTGTTGCTGACATGAGCTTTTAATGATTCCTTGATAGGAAATGTGAGGAGTCACTAGACTACTCATGCTACGTGCTCTGATATAAATCAGGCAGAAGCACTGAAAAGAAATCTTATCGTTGCAACAGATTTGTAAACACTTCCAGTTTCAGGAGCATTTTCTGTAAGATGAACTATAAGCAAGGAAGCCACAATATCTGGTTCCTGTCTTGGTAATAGATTTATTTTCTTCTCTTTGGTAAATGATGTAAATTCAGGCCATCTGAATGAGTCTCTGCTAGAAAAAATGTAAGCTATTACTTTGCACCTCACAAAAGCTTCCTAAGATGTAATAAATTCATATTTGTAAAGCAATTTGAAATCTTCAGATGGAAAGCACAACCATCATACTATATGTGTTGTAGCACATTGATATATTAAGATAGTCTGATGAACCGTTATATTTTTTATTAAATGGTGTTGCACAATAATTATTAATTCAATCGCTGAAAGAGAAAATGAATATGCATGCTAAAAGGAAAAGCATAACTAATGTATGTAAAATGTTTGTTCATTAAATCTGATGCATCTCCGTTTTTAACGGGCACACTGAAAAGTACCACAGCTAAAAAAATTGTGACTAAAATCACTTATTTATGGGACTCCATGTTGCACCCTGCAAAAGCATCTGAAAAGCATCTCGAGCTCCTAAGGCTAAAGAGTAGTGCTAAGAGAGTCCTTTAATATATTTAAGAACATAACCAGTGCACATGTCCCAGCCCATGACTGTTCTGCAGTGCAGGTATAGCTCTTCGCCCAGCCTTCAGCCCATCACGCTGGGGTTGCACCTGAAGAGCTCCACCTGGAAATCAACTGATCTTTTGTCTGCCCAAGGGGATTTTTAATTGTCATCCCTGAGAACCTATCCCTAACCACATGGTTGGCCCTGGATGTGCCACCAAGGACTCCATTGGAGCCTGGAGCATTGGAACTGCCAACTGCTTCCCTCCCTGGTCAGCTCCTGGGGACCCCAGGCCAGCCCAGCACATTGCCCTCTTGGGTGGCTCATGGCAGCACGCCGAGCTGCCCATGGCTGGTGTCCCCCACTGTAGGGCTTCACGAGAGACCCCTAACTGGACATGTACCCCCAGTGCAGTCTCTGGGGACCTGCCCAGGTGACAGAGTGTGGGGCTGCAGGTGTCCCTTCCATGTGAACAGATATACATTGTTTAAGAGATATATACACTGTTTAAGAGATATATACACTGTTTAAGAGATATATACTGTTATGCACTGTGCAGAGACACAGTGCAGGTGATCTTGGCACTTTGCACCTTACCACTGGAATAAGGTGCGTTTGGTGCATAGCTGGAAAGGCTGTGTGCACCAAGGAAGGCGACAAACAAACCCGTTATTCTAAAATGGCCAGTATTTCACAAAATCAGTGAAAGCAAACACAACAGCATCCTATGTGAGCTTTTTGACGCAGTGATGTACACCACATCATCTTATTTTCTTTCAGAACAATTAAAAGATAATAAATACAGGACCTATAAGTCAGATTCTAGCCATGTTTGCTGTTAGCTGTCATGAATTTCTTGGCTTGCTGCTGAGAAGATCTGCAAGTTTGAGGCTGTGAGTGCAAAGCAGCATGGTGTTGAGTCATTCCTCATAGTCAGTTAATTATTAATCATGCCAGAGAGATCTGGCGGCTGCAGTGACCAGGTTGCTTCCCTCTCTAAGTGTTCAAGGATTCTCAATCATTTCATGCTGACATTTAATGCCACAGAAATTTGGGGTGCTTGAGGGGAGCGGGTAAGACTCCCTCTATTTTCCAAAAATACTGACTAATTATCAGATATTAAAATCCCTACTGATATATCAAAGTCAGTTTTTTAAGATCTTCCCTGTGTCTCCTTCTGTGCTTCAGCAGCCATTCAACTCCAGATGCTGCTCAGCATTTGGCTTTCAGATTCAGAAACCAACGCATGAAGATAAGCCCAGACTGCCTTTTACACATGTAACGAGCCACAAAAATTCCAGAACCAGGATGCCATCCTAGAAATCCCATAAAACTTCTGTTTTCCTTATTACTAGTTGAAAGAATCTTTTCTTTGTGCTTCCCCCTGATGCTGGCTTTTAACTGTGTGCAGTGGATGCAAAGTGTCCTTCACTCATGAGCTACCTTCTACTCTGGGATGAGAGCCATCATCTGCACTGGAATGAAAGTCACCTTCACAAGCAAGGAAGCTCACCTGAGAAATCTCAGGTCTCTCCCAGCAATTTGATGTCTGCAGGCTCAAAAATCAGGTTATGGACAGATTATGACCAATGATGACAAGTATTAAGTCTGATTATACCAATAACCATGAGGAGGTAAAAAGTCTTTTAAAAGGCCTGGCAAGCATTCATTAAGATAGTTGGGAGACAGCATAAAAAACACCATCACATTTTGCTGCTCTGAAAATCCAGAAGGCTCTGAGAAACAAGCTCACAGCACTTGAAATATTATGCTTTTCTGAACCATTTCTTCTCCTTTAAAAAGATTTTCACTGCAGGAGCAGCTGAGATGGATGCCCATCTTCCTCGTCCCTGAGGCATAAAGAGTGGCACAGTTGCAGCAATGCAAGAAAACAGGAGGCACTCACATGCTGCTCTGCCTAATCCCTTCTCCAAAATCATTTTTCTTATTAGCTGATACATGCAAACAAATAAAAATTTGTGTCATTTGCATGTTAAATAGGAAGGCACTTATGCTTTGCTCCACCTGGATGACACATGCAATGCAGCCTTCCTGTGGTTACGGTATTGGTATTCATAAGCAGCTGATTCCAATTAGCAGTTTTAGATAAACACAATCATGGATACGTGTACAAGTGACACTCTTCCTTTTGTCTTTTTACGCAGAAAGCCAGACTTGCTCGAATTCGTGCAGCAAAGAGTGGGAGTGCTAATGCCTACATGCAGAGCAAACGAAATGGCTTACTGAGTAACCAGCTGCAGCAGGTAATGTTTTTATATCCTCCACCTCCAGAGAAACAGCCCAGCAGTAGCTTATTCCGTTTTTCACCAGGGCAAGTCAACTTGGGTCTTTAGCCAATGTTGTCTTTAGAGTGAGATTAAGGAAGGATAAATTGGACAATTACTAATGTTAAAAGAAGTTTACAAGAGTCGATGACAGGGTATTAAAAGATGAGGGAAATGGCCAGATAGAAATCCTGGATTCAAACATAACCCACATTTTTAAAGGTAGATCCTGTAGAAGACCTCACTAAGAAAGTACAGAGCTTTTGCCTCTTAGGAGGTAGGATGGATTTATCTCATTTGGCTTTGGACAGGTAAAACATGGGTGAGAAACCCAGATTTCATCATCAGTGAGGGCAAGAGGTAGCTCCAGGGTACCATCTGCACAGAGGGGTGTTACAGAATGAAAAGCATTCCCTGGAAGCACCTACTTTGCTCTAAGGAGAATCTTGGTGATTACTTCAAAGGTATTGAAATCTCTGGTTACCTGAAGTGAATTCCCCCCTTACACCTGGCGAGTAAGCCAGGAGCAGCAGCGGGACCCCAGGCAGCAGCTGGGACAGGGATCCACTGTGACCCACGCTGCCGGAGACAGCCCCTGGGCTGCTTGGAGATGTAGCCAGCTGAGAAAGACTGAAGACACAGTGTTTTGCAATCCCTGCCATTTTCTGGCATGGAGGCAATTCCCTGAGGGATACAGGAAGGCTTTCATTCCTCTATGCCCTTTCTGTTCAATACATGTTAAAAAGCCGGAGACTCTAACCTATAGCCAGGAGAGGAGGAAGTAGCTGTCTGTCCACCCAGCCGGTCTAGCACAAAAGATGAGCAGTCAGAGCCCTCGTTTCCTCTTCTGCTTGAAAGAACTCAGATCTGTGAGCTAAAAAGACACCAAATAGCTTAATTGCTATGCAGCTTTCAAATATCACAAAGTTGAATTTTAATCTTTCCTATTATCCCACTTCCTTCCCTTTTTTTATTTTTTTGCTTTCTGGTGAGTAATTATGAAAGCAATTAATAAACAGTGGATGCTTTCTACTTAATTCTTCATTCTGTGTCAGTAACATCTGCTATACGCTTTGCAAACTCAGCAGATTGGGATCACTGACATGAATTTGTGTGTAAGCAGCAATACCACAAATTCTTTAGTGCTATGAAATGATCCCAGGAGGACAACTATGTCTAATTTCCTTCAAATGAGGAACATTCCCAGGAAAAAAAAAAATATTTACTGTCACTTAGATTTATGATAATTTTAAGCATGTGTTGATTCAACATTCAAAGCGTGCGTGTTGATTGCACTTGTAAATTGTACTAGTCCAACTATGCATAAAAGACCTGAGATGCAAACATTTAAAATGAGGTGCAAGGGAAGGAAAGAAAGTATTTTGATTAAAAAACAAACATGCAAAATAGAAGTGAGGTCCAAAATAATTTGGGTTATACTGTGTAGATGAAGCAGCATTGCAGTTACGCTACCGTGTACAATCTAAATTAGTTCTGATCAAATATTTGGGTAAGAGCCCTCTCATTCAGAGGTGAGAATAATACGGAGTTCTATGTATCAACAGTCCTCCAGTGAAGAAGAACAGGCCTTTGTTAGCAAATCTGGCTCTTCCTTTGAAACGCAGCACCACCACCTGCTTCACTGCCTGGAAAAAACTACGGTAAGAAAAAAGAACTGTGTTTTCCTGTGAATTCCAACACCAGCCTAGTTTTCAATGTTTGCAGTTATTTCTTCTAATTAATAAGTCTTTATATGAAAGCAGTTAGCTGGGAAGAAAAGCCATTTTATCTTATTTTAAGGCGTTACAGCCGCTGCATATAAATAACAGAGAGATCCTTGATGAGAGCCTCATCTTGGGTGAAAGACACTGGTGTCAGTGAGATGACACCAGTATAGCCAAGCTGTATATGTGACCTTCAGTATGGTTTTCATATAATTTACACTTTTCTGCACTACAGTTCATAAAACACAATTTGTAATACTTACACATTCAATACTCAGTGCAGTCAAGGCAGGTTTTCGCCCAAGCAAATGTTGGTCTTTTGTACAGGGATGATTGCTGAGTGTTTCCTCTGACATGAATGCAATTCTCACTGAAGTGACTGTAAAAGAGGATCCCCGAGCATCTTATTTTGAAACTTCAAGTGCTTAATCCAGACACAGGTGCAAAGCTTCAGTCTTTTGGCTTCAGTTCAGACACTGAGGTCCCTGTAGAAATTGATGTTGCAATTCATAACAGTCCAAATATAGTCATCTAGATCTGAAACTCCCTGTAAATCAAAAGGGCTACTTATTATGTGCTGTCTGTATTTTTCCCTGGTCAATACCTGAATAATTAATTATACAGCCATAAAGGATAGTAAACTAGAGCAGAGTTGTGATTCAGTAATAACTGCCATGTTTATTAATAGTATAATTCTGGACAGATACCATCACAGCAATAACCCTAATCATCCCTAAATTTATCTTGTTTCCTCTTTTATCATTTCCCAAGGAAACTAAGAATATAAATATTAGTTATATTGAATTTAATCTTTTAATATTTGGGAATTTCATATAGGGCACACTAAAATTATATCCTTGTATTTTTATATTTTGTGGGGATTACACTGCCATGAAGAATTTACCTCATATTGTAGGTCTGTTAGTCAACATCATAGAGTCATAGAAGATTATTTAGGTTGGAAAAGACCTTTAAGATCATCGAGTCCAACCATTAACCTAACATTGATAAGTCCCACTGAACCATGTCCCTAAGCACCACATCTGTACATCTCTTAAATACCCCCAGGAATGGTGACTCAACCACCTCCCTGGGCAGCCTGCTCCAATGCCTGACAACCTTTTCAGTGAAGAAATTTTTCCTAATATCCAATCTAAACCCCGCCCCATTGCAACTTCAGGCTGTTTCCTCTCATCCTACCACTTGTTACTTGGGAAAGGAGACCAACACCCACCTCCATTAAACCACTATTTACAAATTTACATCTGGTTTTATAAGTTCCAGTTGCATGTAAAAAATTATATGATTTCCCTTTAAGTTTTCTATACATAGTGGAACTTAATGCTATTTTGTCTTATCTTTATAGTCTACTATTAGATTTTCATGAAAAGATCCAGTAATGCTTCTGGTATTTTTGATGGAGATCAATGTGACTTACTGCAATTTCTCAAGAAAAAAAAAAAGAGATTAAAACTTTTCCCCCGTGAGACATTGCTAAATTAAAATACGATGCATGTATATGTATATGGTTGTTACATCACTTCAACAGTAATATGTCATCTCACAGATGCTTGTGTCTTCACTTCTTACTTTTGGAGTCTTCATTTTTATATAATGTACTGTAGGACAAAATGTCTTGCTTCCTGTTCAAAGTATAATGTGGTTTCCTTGCCAAGATTCAGGCTAGGTCCTTTTGGAACATTTTGGAGACATTTTGTACTGGAAAAATTGTACAATTGTACTTAAAAATTGTTACACATTGAACAATACAAACATATTTTAAAACCCCAGTAGTAGCCACAGGTCTTGTCAAACTCTCATAGAAATCATGGAAAACAATTCTGTTCTTGTGGTGGGAGTTGGAGTGGGCTCCCAAAGTTTCATATTTCCTTTAAACATAATGGTGGAATATGTAAGCCTTTTATTTTTTCTTTTTTTAAACAGAGGTATTAAAAAAAAAAAAAGGGGGAATAAATAGATAAAGCAAGTATTATCTTGTTTCCTAAATCTGTACAGAATCTACTTTCTTTTTCCCTTGTTTCTTGGGTCCTGTTACTAGCAGTGAGATTCATATGACATATGTACACAAAATGTATGCAGGGGTTCCAAGTTATATGCTGCAATTGCCTCATCAGATCATACGTTCCTAAAATTTTAGTGAAAATTTGAAATTTTGGGCCCTCAGCTTGTGAAATCTGGCAAGTTGTTGGTTCATGATATAACAGCCTTCATAGCCTTGCCTCATCCTTTGAAATATCCTTTGGTATAAGCATCAGTCCAGATGATACTAAGCATAGAATCATAGAATCACTAGGTTGGAAAAGACCTTAGAGATCATCCAGTCCAACCGTATCTGTCCACCACTAAACCATATCTCTCAGCACCTCATCCACCCGTCTCTTAAACACATCCAGGGACGGTGACTCCACCACCTCCCTGGACAGCCTGTTCCAGTGCGTGATAACCCTTTCGGTGAAGAACTTCTTCCTTATATCCAATCTAAACCTCCCCTGGCACAGCTTGAGACCATTCCCCCTCGTCCGATCATCTGTCATTAGGGAGAAGAGACCAACACCCACTTCTCCACAACCTCCTTTCAGGGAGTTGTAGGCAGTGATCAGGTCTCCTCTCAGCCTCCTCTTCTCAAGGCTAAACAAGCCCAGTTCCCTCAGTCGCTCCTCATAAGCAAAGGTACATTTTCTCTTATCTGGCATTTTAAAGTCAATGGAATAAGCTCTTCCACTCTAAAAAATTCAGTGTAGGCAATATTATGGAATTCTGTGAACATTACATTAGTAATGAAAATAATTGCACTGGAAGTTGCATTTTACAGGCTACTTTTAGCTGATTTAAGAACAGTTAATTAATAAGTATAATCAAATATATTAACATGAGCCATTATATCATTTCAAAATGCTTCTAGTCTATATTAAAAGTTCAGTCAGTTCAGTCAACCCTTTTTAATAGAACCTACAAATTGAATTCTTGTTGGTTCCTCCATAAAAGTTTTAGGACGGACAAAATTACTTTTAGTTGGAAAATTAGCAGAGTTCTTGGCAAGCAGACTGCAAGCCACTGAATGTAAACTAAGGATGGTGATTAGGTCATTTTCTCCCTGAATTTTATGTCCACTGTGTGATCACATTCAAAGTCTTGATTGTGACTGACATATGCCTTACAGAAGCCAATTTTCAAGCAAGTTCTTTCTTCCCATGTCACTTGAAATTGGTATTTTTCAACATCACTCATTTCCACACAAACTTATGTCTGAGTGAAAAACAGAAGAAATGGAAATAAAAATGACTATAAAAGGTATTTCCATTTGTCGGAAGCACTTGGCTACAGTTGTTACTCTATTTACTTTGCTCACATATTTTATATTAGCACTCTATTGTAATTCTCCTGGAAAATATCAGCACCTTTCCAATTAACACATCATTCTTCAGGGGAAAAAATAGTGTTTCTCATTCTAACACACAAAGACACAGCAGGCTAACAAACTTTAAGTGGACGAGACTGAGTAGAGCATAAAACATCCCAAAAAATGCTCATTCTCAGGATATGCCAACTGATTCCAGCAGTAAGTGGAAAGATTTCATTTTTTTTTAAAAGGATGCTTTCTCCAACTGCGCATGGACACATTTAAATCTCTGCTTAGTTTGTGCTGCTGTTTTAAAATGACTGTAAATACTCTCGCCCCTCCAAGCCCCAGCCCAACATCACTATTTCACACTCTTACGCACACAAAGATAACGTGGAAATCACGGCTATGTGTGAAATATTCCCCAATCACCTACCAAGTCAGTGTAAACCAGCCGGTTGCTTGAGTTTGGATGCAGCTCTATGACAAGCCTGTACAACTACTGTCTATGCTGGGATTAAGCAAAGACTGCATGAATAAAGACTACTTCGTTTAACTAAATGTTTTGTCTTCTAAACTGATTTTAATACATCTGTCTACAGTAATTAGGAACTTTTTGGATGCTTTCAAATAACTGTCTCATCTCCTCTAATCAAAACTTCTACTTAATGGCATCTTTTTCTTTACATAGATGCATGCCTTGACACACTGTTTAAGATCCTGATTCCTAATATGTAATTAATCAGGACTTTATAAACTGATCTGGAAAATATTTATGATTCTTATTTTATTATAGTTCAATACAATAAATCTTATTTATTTCTAAATGACATTTAGAGCATTTACATAAGCACCACTTGCATTTTTATTAATAAGCATAATCCCCTGTTTTGTGGCACTTCATAGATTATAGAGATATTTATAATGCAAACGACATCACAATTACGTGCTATTTTACAAAATAATTTGGATTAAATTTTTCTTATTTAGAGGTCTGAGTGTTTTCTTCCAGCGTTTGCATTTGTATTGGTATTCAGCCCAGGCTAATATGGGCTAAACACTATAATCAAGAATAAGCTGTCTAACTTTTCCAGTTTATTCGGTTGTGTTAATTTAAGCTTTTAAACAATCATGATTACAATGTTCACTTTAATTATCTTTCTGTGTGTTCTTTGTCCCTTTGTTGGATTCCTCTGGGCTAGAATCACGAGTTTGTGGATGAGCAAGTCTATGAAGAGAGCTGTATGGAGGTTTCCACAGTCAACAGACCCCCCAGCCACAGCCCCTCTCTCTCGTCTCAACAAGGTGTTACCAGCACTTGCTGCTCGCGAAGACATAAAAAGACTTACCGCATCCCAAACACCACCATCACTGGCAGCCGCCCGGGCAGCGTACAAGAGCTCAGCACCATCCAGATCAGATGTGTGGAGAGGACACCTCTGTCTAACAGGTACTTCACATGCTCCAGCCCACCAAGAGCTGAAGCCCCTTTCTTCCTTAGAGATGTACAGGCGTTGTGGCCTCTGCAGGCAGGCTGTGAGGCTAAAGATGAAAGTCAAGTAGTCATCCAAGAGTGGACACTAGGACGGAGACATCCTGCGCTTAGTTTGCTCCAAGCTTAATCCCAGATAACAGAATAGTTATATATTCTCTATATATACTCTATATCCATTTCTGCCTTCCCCACAAACGACTCTGTACTATTTGCAGGGAATAGTATCCAGGGACCCCAGCGTAAACAGAGCATCAAATATTGTATGCCATGGACAAACACATAACCAGAAAAATGTAGCATAGAAAAATGTGCAATTCAGATATGAGATGTGCCAGTGGGAAGAGAAAGAAAGGTCTGTCCCTGCTGTTTCGAACAGCTTGGTTCGGTAGCATAGGACAAATAAGACTTCCCCGCATTTCCACAGAGCACAGACACCAAAATTGATTCCCAGAGTCTTAAGTATAATAGTCATAAGAAAGAGTCTACCAAATAAAAAACATGAAATGGATAAGGAAAATGTATTTCTTAGTTTGAGGAGTTATTACAGAAGTGAGGAAATTGCAGTTTAAGAGTCTGTAATTTACTGAATGTCTCCGTACTCTCACGAGTAAAGCGTTTGGCTTTTGGGTGTGTCTGAACAACACCTCTGAAAACACAGCAAAGGTCTCAGGAGACTCACACGTGTTTTCTGTCGAACTCAAACATGACGCCGTTTTAAAAAGAAGCATTTTCAGCACTAGTTGCTATAGAGATTGTCTTGTTAAGTTACATTTTGAGTAGCTTGCTTTGTACAGTTACTGGGTTTGGATTTCACTTCCACCAACAATCCAGCAACTTGTAGCTACTGAAGTTTTTCAGCTTGTGGAATGAGACCTCCTGGCCAGCACACAGCTCCGATCCATCTTAGTTTTACTGCAAATATTCTGCCTGGATCCATCCTTCCCCTGCTAGAGGACTTGCCTGCACCATACTTCCAGTCACAGAGTATGTGAACACACAAAGGACGAGCTTTGTGTTAAAAAAAAAAAATCAAGCTAAAAACACAAGCAGAAAATGCCAGTCTCACCTTGAAATGGTCCGAGTTCCACGAGATTCTTATGATGCTGAGGTACTGCAGCAATTCTGTGAACATGTTAACTCAGCCCTACTTAGTGCAAATAACACCGTGCGTACTCTTGAGGATACACAAGATGTTCTTGAGTAAGCATGGCATGGAGGAATCAGTAGGAGATGGAGACTACCCCTTAGCTTCCACTGTCCTGCAGAGCAAGTCCCTTGGCTGTGCTAAATTTGGTCAAATGCTTACCCTGTCCAGAAACTCTAAGGTGATGGGCTGAAAAACCATCATAAGGAAGGGAGAAAGGGGGCCTGCCATGGACCACCTGCTGCTGGGATGCAGGGTGGAGGGCTGATGCCGCTTCGCACCCCAGAGCTGCTCAGCGGGGCAGGATGGGGACAGCTGGCTGAGGGAGCGGGATGGGGCACACAAGAGGTTTGCAGTAACAGGAATTTTCTTTCTTCATGGATTTCTGTTTCTTCCTCCAGCCGTTCCAGCTTAAATGCCAAAGTGGAAGAGTGCGTTAAACTAAACTGTGAGCAGCCTTACGTCACTACAGCAATAATTAGCATCCCGACACCTCCTGTCACCACACCCGAAGGAGATGATAGGCCAGAGTCTCCCGAATATTCGGGAGGAAACATTGTCAGAGTATCTGCTTTATAAAATAAGGAATTATTTATAAATTAGCATAAAGACCACTTGCAAGCTGAGCTCGAGCAGCGAGAAACGAGTCGCAAGGAATGAGAGAGCTGAAATAACAACGCCCCTTGACGCGTGCGCCAGCGGCCGCAGAGCAAAAGATCCCGGAGAAACAAAACACTTTGTGGGTTTCGGTGTCATAGCGTGTGAACCAAAAGGAGTTTCTTAGCCCTTGTCCGAACTGACGCACGGTGGAATCTTCTGTGACCATCCTGACTTACTATATGAGCACAATGAAATGTCCCCATTGATGCTTCTTCTTAACATGAGAGCTCTTTTTAAAAAAAAAAAAAAAACAAAACAAAACAACGCAAAACAGAAAATAGAAACAAACCTGTAATGCAAAACAACAAGAAACATTTTGATAACGTGTCTTTTTTTCTTTCCTGTTAATAAACCACAAACTTGTTGAGAAACTATCCAAAAAATGAAAGAAAAAAAATGCTCATAAGAAATATGTTTGTACTGACTGAAAGAACTACAACCATAATGCATGCTGAAATTATTTGGAGCTGTGATCTCAGTTTACTTTTGTTGTTTTTTGGATTAGGCATGATAAAATATTACTGTAGAAAGGGGCATTTCCGTGCACTTACAACAAGCTGATTGTTAATGTTCCATGGTAGTTGTACAAATAACTTCCCTTTGAAAGATGCAGTATTTCTTATTCAAACACTCATTAGTGAACTAAAGGTGTTCAGTTAGTTCAATATTTACTATTGTTTTATCTTGCTTCCTAGGTACTGTTACAACTGCAATAAGTCATTGTACACCTGTTGTATCAGGAATCAGGATTTTTTTTTTTTTTTTAAGCTATTTTACACAACTTCATCCACACTGTAAACTTCTAATGGCAAACATTTAAATAACCTTACTGCCAAACCGTGCACCACGACTGCGCTATTCATTGTTCTTTTTGTCCACTGTCTTCTATTTCTACGACAGTTTGTTGTCCACTCCAATATTACTGTAGTATCTGGGATTTCAAGGCTACTGATGAACCAACAGAGTCTTTTCTTCCACAGACAGCTTGTTTACTTCCATGTTTTCAGAACAAACCTCTCGTCCCAGTGTACTCTTGCAGGATCAATCCTTTTTGAATTACAGTGACTACAAAGGTGTTTTTGGGATCAGCTAACACTTATCTCCAAACCTTCCTTGTTGACTTTCTGCAGCACCCAGCGTATTGGCTACACTGGAAGACACCGAAAGACATTCAGTAAACAAGACGGCTAAATTCTTTTTGTAATTATCTGTAAACATGCATCCTAAAATTTGTTTGAGAATTTATATCATGTGAAGATATTTAATTACCTAAGAACACTGATAGAATAATGGATTGGATCCCAAAGCTATAAAACATATAATTTATTTCAATTTAAAGTTAACCACATGGGCAGGCCTAAAAGCTACTATGAAGACTCTTCTAGTTAAGGCTTTTTGGCTTCATTTTCAAAAGACATCGATGTCACCAGAAACCTTCCTGATGAAAAAGTGTCATTTTTCTTCATGAGAGTGCATTAGGAGATGTATCATAATGCTTCCTATATACATGACATACCATACATCATTTACATCAAATATACATGGAATATGTGCATATCAATACATACATATACACATGAAAAACACTGGATCAGAAACAACTGCATGTCTGCATAATAAAAAGTATGCATATAAATCAAAAGGCTCAGTGCATTAGATGCCATTACAATAAACGATTAACACAGTTATTTAATAGTTTGGGTAGTGTATGTTTCAGTACAGTATTTGCTAGCATTCTACTGACCTGAAAATTTGCATTAAGAGAAAACACCCACTAAAAACTGAAACTTGCTGATGATACACTTTTTACTGCACACGAATACTGGTCTTTATACCTGTCAACAGAGACTGATCATGGACTGTCATGCTACAGTACATACACCAAAATACAACAATGTCACATATTAGAATTAAACTGCAGTTAAAAGGAGTGCATAATGTCATGCTTTACCCTTTTATCATCTACTTATTCGGAAGCTTGGTTAATTTGCAATTAACTTCCCACTTTTTCTGCAGATCAGAATAACTTACTCATTGTAAACTGAGCTTACATTTCTTTCAAACCTGAGCAGAAGCACAGGCTGTCCTCTGACCCAGAGGGGTGGTCCTGAGGAGCTCTGCCAAAGTCGATTACCTGCCGTTGCTCTCCTCTCATTCACCCTGTTGGAAAATCGCAGTAGATCTGCTAAAACTGGTGGGTTATGTAGGTTTTAATGGAGGTTAAAAGAGAAGCAGAATGGACCCAGGGTTGTTACTTGCATCCTGCTTCTACCCACGGTTACTCATACGAAAAATGGCTCGGTCCCCACCTTCTGGTAAACAGTTATTGATATAAAAACTGCCTCAGTATTAGCAGTCTGCAACAGCTTCTTTATGGCACATGGTACTTCTTGATTAATTATATCAGGTAAATAATGCAAAAAGGCAGTTACTAAGTCCACTTGGGACATAGAACCCAGGAAACCCACTGACTCCATCAGGTCACGCGTCTTTTAAAAACTCTTTATTCTCTTTTTCATACAGACTGAACAGAACGCACGACAGCAATACACTTGCATAACAGTTATACCCCTGATGTAACTCGTACCATCATTTTTAAAATGCAGTTTAAGGAATAATTTAGTATGATTTTGCAGAATTCTAGTCCTGTCTCATGTTTCCATATGTCACATGCAAAATCATTAATTTATTCTGAATTTGGGAAATACACATTCTTTTGGTGTTTTAGGTGATTTAAATGCTGTTTTGGTAGTGAATGACTGTTGATGACTGTGTAAAATGCATCTGTACTGTACATGAAATGTAATTATTTCTGTGTATCATACAAAGAAACCGAGGTTGTTGTTTTGACAATTTTGTTTGAGTCATATATCGTATTTCAGAAGGCAGCATAACACACGTGTTATGCTGAATAAATAAGACATTTGAGGAATATTTAAATAAAACATCTGCATGCTTGAACGGGTCAACCTGGTTTTGCAATAACTTATTCATGGAACTTGGAGGTTTTTTCTCTAGTAAGTTTAAAGGAACACTAAATCCAAGGGCAATAAATGTGCCCAACACTAATCCCAGGCAAGGCATGAGTGCATCTAAAACATACTAGGATCACCAACAACAGGATGCCACAGCTCCGTAACACTGAGCGGCCCTTCTGGTGGGTGGCCATCACCTTTCCCAGCCTGAAGCAGCAGAGAAAATTGGGGCATTAAATTATTACCAGCACTATGAACTCCACCTATCTATACTTTAAAAAAAGCATCTGCTGTGTTTTCAAAACATCCAGACACCAACAGCTCTGCTGAACAAACTCAAGTGCGATATCAAATTCTCTTGATGAAGTGTTAGCCCACAGATGAGATCAAACCCATTTAGTAGTGTAAGAGCAGGTAACAGCACACCACAGATCGCTTACCAAGGGCAACTGACAGTGCAGAGGATGCTGGTCTATATCAGCTGTGTACACCACGGCACTGGCACGCATGACAGCCGCCTCTGCCAGGACCTTACTGCTCTGCGAAGGGAAAAGAGGTAACAGTAATACCTGTGAACCACCCCAGAGCATTTTTTAAGGAGAATGACTATCTACCCATAAAATAGCTGCAGGAGACAAATCTAAAATGTACACTTTACAATTTGAGGTTTGGGGTAGACTCGCTGTGGAAAGACACTGACTGCCGAGAGGCTTTCACAGCAGAAATCACGATGCAACCTCAGCTGCTCCAGGGAGAAGAGTGGCTGTCAGTGAGAAAACTGGTATGGAGGAGGATAATCACAGGTTTTGGGCAGAGAGGGAGGTCATATGCTCTCTTTCCTGCCTCTGGGGCCTTCATTCATTTTCCCATTGATCATGGGAATAGCTGAAGATCTTCAGTTGTTCTGGAGTAACTATCAGCTGATGGGATATGTAAACATGCAACTGAAAGAGCAGTCAGGACTGAACAAAGACTGACAAAGACCGCAAGCTATACTTAAATACCTGGGGACCTTTGTTTCTTACCTGCCTGCATTATCTATTTGTTTTTAAGGTACCCATTTTCACGTCTATGTGCAAGAAACAACTGAAGCTGGGGGAGTGCTGAATAAAAAGCAAGAGATGCATAAAAATTCTGAAGTATTTAGGACATCACAATTATTTTTAAAGAAATGTAGTCAATCATGCACAAGTTTTAGCTACAATCTCCCTTCAATAATAGCAACTCACATGAATTAAACATAATGCTTTTGTGGTAAAAACTTCAAAAAACTATTTGAAAATTGCTGTCTCCATTATATTTAACTGTTTAGCCACTGTGACCAACAGCCTCTCTTTTTACTGTTTATTCTTCATATATTCCCTTACATCCCCAGGTTGTTTTTTACAAAAAGAACTGTTATAAAGAACAAAAAACATAGTTACACCTCCTCCAAAAAGCCTTGCCACACGACCTGCTGGCAGATGAGGCAGTACCTTGTCCAAAGCCAGGGAACAGTGAATTTTATCTCCTAAAAGCATCCCTGTAGCCTCAAGTCATGACTGCGTGGTGCAAGCCTTACTGAGCCCCACTGCTACAGGCAGAGTCCCACCGACCTGGTGTGATTCACTGGGCTGAATGGGAACACCTGGTGCAGGCAGGGGGTGACCCATTTTTTAACACAGTTGCTCTCCTTGACGTTAAGTAATCTGTGAAAAACATGAAAGAGCAGCTCCTTGTTGCAACAAGAAAGATTTGGTTCATTACAGTTGATGCTGCAAAGAATGAACACACCACCCTTCTCCTCCAGGTACTCCTGCAAAACTGAAGGAAAAAGGAAATAAAAGGATGAAGTAGTTTTCAGTGCTGCAAGTATCTCCGAATGTTCCCCTCTTGCCAAGCAGCCTCTCTCCCATGTATATCCTAAAGGTCTACAGGAAAAGAACAGACTCGCAGCAGCCCAGTCAATCAACTGTATGACTCTTTGAACGAGCCCTAGAAAAAGACACCTCGTAGCCTGAGCACAGCGAAAGAAAAAAAGGTTTGAAAGCATTCCAGTTTACAGCTGACACCTATTTCGGCAAACGTGGCAAGCTACTCAAAATAGGATTCTTTCCCAGAATACTTACCAGTGGCCCTGACAAGGGAAGGGAATACTTTTCTCTCCCCTGATATGACGGTCTTTCCCCTAATGGAACTAGCCCCACTCCAAAGACAGAGTGGCTCAGGATTTGGGTAGCCAAGGCCAAGCGTGGTTACCCTGACCACAGATGTTCAGTCATGGGGGTCCAGAAATACTGGGCTGGGAGTTGGTCCTATATCAAAGCAGCCCTACCCCAAACAATCCTTGAACAAGGGCACCACCACATCAGTTTTGGAGAAACGCTACATCAAACCCACCCTCCTGATTTACCACCTCCTAGAGCTGGAGTCTCCTGGCTTGGCCTAGCTGTGAGAAATGCCTTTCACTCTTTGAGCTGAACAAGAGGCAATGAGCTGCTTCACTGAAAACAGGACAGATCCCAGGGACACGTGCAGACCTTGTCCTTCTGGAGCCTGTCGTTTCTCAGGATGAACAACCTTGCTTGTCTCAACTGACACAAGGACCACACACGTACCTCCACTGCCAGTTATACCCCTGTAGGAGCATCCTGGTCTTAACCAAGGACCGCATACCTATCCCCACCCTGATGGCAGAAGCTCCAGCATGATCTGTCTAAAACAAGTCACCTGGGCTGTCAGTATCTCTAATTCAAGCTGTGGACTTGTCAAACACATCTCCCTAGCCCTGCTTACTGTATCTGTTCCTTCATGAGCTCTAAGCCTGACACAAGAAGATGGAGGCAACCTCACTGGTAGCCCCGGGAGGACTGGGGTAGCTGAAGCATTGCTCAGGGAGCTTCCACAGACACTCCTTGAGGAAAACATTATAGGCATCAGGATTTCCTGGACAAAGGGCAGGACTTCTTTTCTGCCCTTTTTCACATCACCTAGTGTGAAATTCCCTACATGCAGCTGTGATCCACAAAAAAAAAAAAAAAAAAGGGCTCAACCCACTGCGAAGCATCACAGGTGACTGTAGGACTCCGAAGTTGAGCTGGCCTACACCCAGGTTCTCTCCGACACCTGCTCTGTTTGTACACAGGAACCTTACCCTTCGCTACAGAAACGCTGACCCGGCAAAGCCACGGGAGGATGGAAGTCTGCAGTAACACTGGGCACAAGGATCCCAAACAGCGTGCGAGGAAGTATTTCTGACAAGCATGCTCCAAGCAAAATTCTGGCAAGTTCTATCCTTTAGCCTTTTTCTCACCTCCCAAAAATAAGCATTAGCGTTTCTGTAGGAGAAGTAAAAAAGCAGAAAGGTAATCTCGCTTGCAATAGTACCCATGAAATAATTACACCCACATGCAGACTGATAAAAAACAAACAGCAGCCCACACAACTGAGGAGCTCAATTTCATTTCATGAGCCCTTAAGAAGCTCTCTCAGAAGCAATAAAAAAAAAGAAAATTTACAATTTAGTTTCTCTACGACAGAACAAGTGGAATGGGTAAAGACACATCAAATTAACTCACACGAGCACGAGGACCTTCCCAGCTCCCACCCAAAGCATTCATGCCCTAAGACTTCAAAAACAAAAAGGCTATTATGGAATTTAAGACAAAAGTAATTTTATTATCTACCAAATCACACCTTGGGTTTTTTTTTTCCTTTTCTTTTACAAATTCCAAAACAAAATGAAAAATTTTTTTTAAATGCAATATTATGTAAAAACACATTTGCCACAAACTATTGTACTCTGTGGAACAAATATATATTACAGGAGCGTGGCCAATTGTAAAAATAATCCTATGAAATAAACATTGTTCATAAAAATACAGTAAAATGCACTTTCCCCACCTCAATAAATACATTTAATGCTGTTTCCAGTTGGCATTTTAAGCCACTATAGAGCTCTTAATGAAGACACTGCCAAGTATAATTTCTCCTTATGTACTTTTACAATTATTGCAATAGCATCCAGAACTGTAAGCATTTTCCTTGTAGTCTTTTGTTTCTACCTTCAGGGGAATCACAGACAGGAGAAAAGATTTATCTATAAAAATGTGCTTCTCCCATACTGATTCCCATTTTGGAAAGAATGTTTAAGGTCTACTTTTCACTAAGAAATAGTCCATAGAACAAACCGTTTCAAAGAAGAATTCTCCAGAATTACTCAGAAAATTAAACTCTATTGTCCAGAGTCATAGTTTTGCTTTCAGTCCCTGTTTAATATATTTAAAATTAAAAATTAAACAGTTATGTTAGATAAAAATAGAAGTTTTAAAACATCTTTAACAACAGCTAAGATAAAGGTTTTGTTAGAAAAAAGAAACTCTCACCCTTTTTACAAATCTTGCAAATTTTTAAATCCAAGTGTTGACTTGAATTGTAGTTCTGCTTTCCATGCACACACAAAAACACACCATTATATATACATAGATCCCTGATTAAGACATTTTCCAAATGACTTATTAAGAACGTAAAGGTCAGTTCCAACTGAAGTCACATTTTGTTTGTCCAAAGCACAATCGTTTCTTCAGAAGGCGAGTATTTTTCTTCCTTTCCCGTGGTGCTTCTTCAGAGGTTCTGCCTGTCTACCCGGGAATGGATCTGTATTTTACACATCACCCGGCTTGTCACAAGAAGTTGACTATTACTGCGACCAGTGAATGAGCACCTTTTAAAAAAAGCAACCAAACAAAACCAACTCGCTTTCATGGCTGAGGCCATGGCTACGAGGCTGACAGGCTTATCCTTCTTTCTATGCTGGCCTCCTTCCCTTCCGTTCGTGAGCTGTTTTCGGAAGCATATGAAGACTGGTGTATTTGGCATACTTGATGGAACTGAGTAACAACAACAAAACCCAATTAAAACCCTTCGTCACTCCTCAGATTCACCACATCACCTATAGCTCTTCCATTTCAAAGTGTGTATTAAAGCTGTTTGCCATGGATGTGTGCTCAAAGATCCTTGTCAGGCTTGGTTTCAGTAGCTCCACGGAATGACATGACAGCTGCTGTGAGGTATCACCCTTCGGGGACATGATCTGATCCACCCCGGGATCCCTTCTGTCGTAGTACAGAGCCCACAGCAAAGTAATAGTGAGGATCATAGCCAGGATCTGTGTCACTCCAATAGAGATCCCTAGAAATCTCAGCACTTGCAATTGCTTCGTCCCTCTCAAAAAAGTGTACATTTTTTTACCACATCCCTGTGAAAAGAAGAAAAATATTTAAATATAATTTGGCTTGCAGGTCCCAAGGTTTAGCTCATCCTATCTAGTGCTGGCTCTTCTGGCTCCCCAAAATTTCTCTCTCACCTCCTTCAAACAACAAATGGAAAATTATTTTGCCTACTTTCTAATTGCTCCCACAATGCCACCTTTAAATTCTCTCATACACAGAGAGTTCGCTGCATGTCACAAGTTCCAAGGGATCTGTGCTACTCTTCAATTCAGAAATCACTCAGTCGATCTGAGTTCCTACCAACTATCCCAATTTTTTAAAGAAACTCAGCTGGTTTTGTGAAGGTTTAAAAGTCGTTAAATGCTCTTAATCCCCTTGATTCTCTGTTAAACTGCAGATCTTCAAGCTTGTCAATTATTTTAAACTCATTCAACTTTTCCTATAAATAATACCACAATCTGAAGTTAAAACAATATTCTAGGAAAGATCTACAGTCCTCATCAGTGTTTCTACCCACCTTTTCCTTTTTTACTGTTTTATCTGGACTCGTTATATGCCAATTTATTAGTTCTGCAGAAAGTCCCTAAGGAGCAGAAAAACCATTACATTCCAGACACCATGTGAGTAAGGAGCCTCAAACAGAGTAACCTTTAACAGAGGACTTCTGCAAATTCCCCAAACACAGCGGGTACAACAGATGTTACTTAGTAGTAATAATACCACATACATGTGGCATTACTCCTGCTTTTTATTCTTGAACTAGAAGCAACTCATTGCAAAAAGCAGATACATTTATGTTAGTTACGCTCCGCCTGCTTATAGGCTATATTTTAGAACTAAATGGCTTCATTTCTAATCCGGAAGCAGAACCCTCTCTGTCAATTATTATGATGGGATTACACCAAGAGCCAGTTTTATCTCCGATCTTGTTCTGGCTGTTGCTACTTAAAGCACAGTAATGTCCCAAAGTTTTTGAAAAGACTATTAGTTATTTGCTCAGAGAAAAAATGGTGAAAGAAAAAAAATTGTATCAACTCCAAGGCATCGTTACTGGGAGGCAACATTGAAGCCAATATTGTGAAAAATGACAGGAAAATTTACCAGTTCAAAAACAAAGTAGTTTGGCATAGTGCTTGCCACACTTTTCCCCCACCTGTGCCCCATCTCTGACTGCAGCAGGGACCACTCCTGGCCATGCTCGGAACCTACAGCTCGGAAGCAATGCAAGTACCAACACACATCCCACTGACTGTTGTGCCAACGCAGAGCCAGAAAGTCACCTCACTGTATCACTGCCTTGCCTCATTTCATTAACCACTGTGAGCAGCTGTAACGACCCACCCTGCATCAGGCCATGCACAAACCCCTGCAGGCAGCTAGACCCTGCGCCGAAGAGCTGACCACCCCCATGCTGTAGTAGGATGATGGTCACATACACCTCTCTACCACTGAGCAGGTACAAATCCAAAGCAATTATTTAAACAATCATTATTATTATTTGCAAATAAAAAGTCTGATGAACAGAAGTATGTCAAAACATCCCAAGGTGATGTTTCCTAGAACCAGAAATTCAGAAAGGGTAGTTGCTCTTTGACTCCTCAGCTTTTTCCAATCCATCAGCATATGCTCCAGAGTCTGCTTAAATGGACAAATAATTACTGTACAGGGTTTCGGGAAAGCTCCAAAGCCCTGGTAAGGTAGCAACAACATACAGAGACATTGGCTCCGGGAACTACCAGACAATGGTATAAACACAAGCTACAGTGCTTGCTGCTGAGAAGAGGTGATGCCCAACCTTGAGACTGGAAGACGCTTTGAGGAGAAGGCCCTGTTCATCCTCTATTCTAAATTTTACAGGGTTTCACAGCACAGAAAACAAAGGAACACAGCCACCAAGGGAAAATTCAGAATAGTAGTCTGTATAGGATAATACCACAGGTACCAAAAGGCATCAGTCCCAGCAGAAGACATGAGGAACCCATCAAAATGAGCACTGCTTTCAAAATGTCATTTTTGTGTTTATGTCCTTACTACACGTTTCTTATAGCTTTTCTAGGAAAAGAAAGCAATTGATCAAAGTGACAGAATCTGAAGACAGTATATGATAAATAACAGTTTTCAATCACACTGAAAATCCCCAAAGCCAACAATTTCAAATGCTACAGTCCTGAATGTATTTGATGAAAGGCCCAATTCCTGCCTCACACACAAAATTCACATGGGAGTCAACAGACTCTCATTTAGGATCTAAATAAAATTAATGTACTATACAACAATTGTAACAAAGTTAAAGGATCCCAACGTCTTGCTCCATTACTCATTTCAGTGTGTCATTTTTTAAACTTTAACAGAGTTTAGACAGAACAAGAGAAAATGTGGATTCTTTTAAATCTGAAAAGAAGCCAAACCCCCATACTGTAGCAAAAGCAATGTAATTGAACTTGATGAGGAATAAAAATTGACACATTGGTGCCTTTTTTCCTTCAACTAGAAGACCGCGTCATAATCATACTACTGCAAATTTGTTTTTAATTACAGAGAAACTGGCTGCATTTTAATACTTTTGATAATTTTAAGGGATGAAGGTATATGCTGGTCACAATTTAAAAATGCTCAACCACAGCAGTATTCTAATTCAGTTCATTTGTTGCCTAGAGGAAACACCCATCAACAGAGAGCAGTAACATTAATGCCTGCATCTCCTGCAGTACAGACACATAACTGAGACAAATTATGCTCAATCTAGATAGACTGCCTCCCTCCCTTTAATGATGTTCTTACAGTTCTGCTCTAATACACGTTCAAAATCAGTTTCAAAATTGAGACATATCCAGTTCCCCCGATATCCTCACATTTGTGCATTTTATTTCTGCCTATGCGACACATTCATAGTTGGTAGCCCACAATTAAGGATTATATAAATATACTCTCCTCAGCAAAAGTAAAAGTTTGTCACTTAACAGGGAGCTCTTACTGACAACTCAAACATAGTACAAAACTTTGCAGCAATCATTCAGAAGAACTGGCTTCAAACTCCGACAGAGCTACAGATTAAAGGCCTGATTCCTATCTACTACAAAGGCCAGTTTATACTTTAAATGGAGACAAACCATATTTCTGATTCACTGCAACGTCATGTTGTGGATGCCCCATCCCTGGCCATCTTCAAGGCCAGGCTGGATGAGGCCTTGAGCAACCTGGTCTAGTGGAAGGTGTCCCTGCCCATAGCAGGGGGGTTGGAACTAGATGGTCTTTAAGGTCCCTTCCAACTCAAACTATTCTGTGTTTTTATGATCACTGAATAAGGACCAGACCTTAAATAAGGCACTTCCCAGTAACAGATAAATCATCAGCATATACTCAAATTCTGATAACACTCAAAATTATGCTAGAAAACAGAAGGGGAAAAAAAGTCAAATGTGCACTTCTGATTTTTCTAAGGATATCAAGTCTTACCAATCCTTTTGTCTAGGCTACAGTTCCCCATCACAAGATGGGCAGAGCTCCCCTTGTCCTCAGATCCCAATGAACCTGAGGCCACATCGTCATCTGACCATCTGACACACATCCCTAACCACGCTCTTTCTAAGGTTAGTCTTCCCCCTGAACTGCACCAAAGGTGAAGCTCACCAGAATAAAAGCAGTCCAAGACGACTAACACGTGAAAAATAGTTTTCAAAATCCATCGAGGGAAACACAGTTCTGCTTGAGAGTATCATTGGCAGGAATCACTAGTAAGCCACCTTTCTTTCTACAAAAATTGTACTGTAAAGGATTCCAACTTACATTACAGAAAGCTCTGAGATCCTAGCAGAAAATTACAGCACAGCTACAACAAAACAATTTTATCAAACCCAGCCAAACCAAACCTCAATTTTCTGAAGTACTACAAAGAATTTTTCTGAAGTATCAGAATGGACTTGTGAAGCATTTACATAAGCCAATTTTAGGCTAGCCAGGCTAATCTCATCAGGCTCCCTCTCAAACCACCAGACTATGCAAGTTTGTTTTGAATCACTTTCTAAAAGCTTTTCTCCTTCAATTCTCCAAAGCAGAAGTCAGACAGATTAGCCTTGCAAGTGTAAGTTGGTTTTGCATGACACAGATAAACATATTAGCAAGTATACCACACAAGCCTGTGAGACAACCCACAGGCAAGCACCATGGAAAAAACATGTTTAGCCAAGCAAATATTGTACATATCTCAAAGAGCAATAGAGTATTTTTGTGGCTGCTAAAACAGAAAACAGTCTGCCCCTTTTTGGGATTGATCCTGCAGTAGACAACCAAAAATAAATCTGTGCTAAGAACCCATTCAAAATGCTCTGGGGTATGGTAGGGGAAGAATTAGAAATGTGCCCTTCAGGTTTTTCTTAGGAAAAAGTCAGGCAGCCTTTTTTTTAATCAGGTGGTTCTCAGAGTCCTTATGTTCTGCACCATCATTATCTTTGGCTATTAATTTTCTCTAAGTAGAGCCAAAAGAACCTGAACATAAAAAGTGTGCAGAGAACCACTTTCCTGGAACAATCCAGTGGGAATAAAACGTTAGCAGAAGAGATCAGATGAGAAAACCCTGCAATTTTGACAACACACTCCAGTGACTACTACTCCTTCTCATAAATTTTTAAGCTTCCTGAGCTAAAAAAGAGTGTTCTATTGAGTGACACTGCTTACACACACTTTCCTTTTCACAAAAGCAGGAAGGACACTGTGGGTAAATGAACATTCTGCAGCTTCCATACATCTACACTCCTTTGAGGGTTCTCTGTGACAGAGTTGGGCTGTATAGTACCGACACTGGCAACAGTATTACAAAAAAAACACCATTATTGCAGAGTGAGCCACGCTTCTTTCTTCTTCAAGAATATGTAGGACATTAGCAGGCCCCAGAAGAAGCTTGCATGGTTTTCCTATTCAGGCACAGACACTTCTGAAGTGTACCAGTGCTGCCTGTGCTGCAAGCCTTGCCATAAGGCAGTTGAGGCTCTACCTTGTAGAGCTGATGGAAAGAAAACTTCCTCTGCCACCACCTTTAAGGTTCCCTCGCACAGACTGACCTTCTGAGGCACCTGCCTTTTGGCAGGTCTACCTCCTCTCTTCCTAGGGGAAGCACACAAGGCCTAGGATGGATGTCTGAAAACCCAGAAGAGATTATATAAGTTCTGCTCATACAATCAATGCCATATAAATCTAGCAAATCATGCCACATCAGCGATACCATTTCCCAAAAACTTGACTGTTTCCTGGCAATAGCTAAATATTCATCTTGGCTTGTTTATACAGTCAATCTCTCCTGCTTCACACAGGTATCTCCATGGCTTCTGAACAAGAGCCACATAATAGATTCCTGTAAGGAAGAGTCTTGAACAGCAGTACTAGGACAAAATGAAACGGTTCGTCGGATGCTGTTCCATAATGCAGACTTGCACTGCCTACTAGTGAAATGCTCGTGCTCAGCATCTGAAAGCACGTCTCAGGCCCAACCTCCTTTCTATTCACCCTATGTTACTCTTAATCTAATAATAATACTGTTAATCATTACATAATATAAATTATTATAACAGTAATAATAATATTGTTATTATACAGGTACTAATTAATACTCTTAAAACAAAGAACACTTCAGATCCTCGTAAGTACTTGACTGATACATGCTTTTTGTCGCTACTGGACTACCTGGACTGGTGGTCATTCTGATATTACTGAGTATGCAATTAAAGGTCTTCAGAGGTCTGTTAGTATTAAAAAAAGAAATATGGTAGGTAGCAAAGCAGTTTGCAGACAAAGGCGACTTTTTACAACATCTCTGTAAGAACACTTAGGAGTGTTTAATAGAGAACATATTCACTTGTTTTTTTAAATTTTCACCCCTAAAACAGTGATGTCTTTCTACCATGATCTTCCTTACCTGCTCTGAGGTCAAACAGGTTCTCTCCTGGTTTCAAGGCTCTTTTTTATTCTTTTAAAATAAACATTCGGTAATGTAGTAGAGTTTCAGAAAAAGAACATTTTCACACAAAGCTTCTATGCGTGCTCAAAGCAACTGAATTACCTGCCTCCTTGCATGGGCCCTGTTAACAAGAGAGCCATCATCGTCTCAAGGACTGCTCAAAAGCTTACCTTCGTTGTAGATATCACCGCAGTCCTCACTACCACAGGGTAAGCAAAATTTCTTAGTTTGGCAAGCTGGGGACTGGACATTACACCAAAATTATGGTTTTATTTTCTGGTTAGAGCAAATTTCAACTTCAACCTAACCAATATAGAACAAATACCTCAATGTTTAAGCATATCTCAGATGTTAAGGGCATTGCTACTAACTTATCTCACTTCTGGGTAAGGGTTGGTGGGTGAGTGACTTCTTTCCTTCTTTCTTCCTTCCCCTTCTTCAGCATTAATAAATGACAAACATAAACACACACAATAAACACTTTCCATAAACACAATTACTCCACAAGCCTGTCTGCTGCACTGCAAGCAATGAGTTTGGAAAATTCCTTGTTCAGGAAGAATGTACAAAGCCTTCCAAAATATCCACATCTTCCTTCTTACCTCCTGATAAAGGTCACTGAGATCCTCATGATGTGCCCGCTTAGAGCATCCTGGGAACTCTCTGACACAACAGGAGTCGGGCGGCCAGTCCATCTCTGTCATTTCCAGCCAGTCTGTGAAGTACACCACGCCACAACATTTAAACTGAAAAGGAAGGATTAGCCAAGATCAGCAATAATGATGCTACTTCTTCATAAAAGTAGGTCCTCATAAAAGCTCAATAAATTCCTATTAACAACATTCAAAATATTTACACAGGGCTAAGCACATCCACAAGTGCTTCCATGTATCTTAATTTGCTGTATTTTGACATAAAAGCAACGTGAAAAAGGTAACTCAGTGACCAATGAACACCTCAGAATCAGACAGTGATACTGCTCTGTCCTTTAAATCCCAACCGCTCCCCCAAAGGATGCTTCACAGAATTTGTCCTTCCCTGCAATTTTGCTATTCTTACTACATGGAACACACACATGACAATTTCATGTCAAAAGGGTGACTGATGAACAAGTATACCTGTGGCTGAAGGAAGTAGTAGGAAAAGATGATTAAGGTCTTACTAGAGAGGACTATTCTTGCATTGCTAAAACTATGGATACATTGTTTGAATTCCAGATGAGAAAAACCATAGATTTATCGGAATACAGAAAAAAGATGACAAAAAGTGAGGAGGAAAAAAAGAAGTATGGAAATCACATATGCTGAATGGAGGGGAAAAAAAACAAACAAACAAACCAAAACCCAAAAAAACAGAAATGGAAGGAAGGGGTATCACACTGAAATAAACATTGCAACGGAATCAACCATAAAAGTAGGAAGCCTGGCTGCAAAGCAGATGAGCTATAATTGGCTAGAAAACCCACCAGGACTAACAACCTGTCTTCTCCTCTGCAAACCACACAGAGATTTAAAGCCAAACAACCAGCCTACTACATTCCTAGCTGCTTTCACATAAAAAAAGGCTGAAGCAACTATATTAGATTTTCTTCAGCATCGGATAGGGACTTGACACCACTGAAAAAAAGCCTTACTGCAGGAATAAGATGCTGCTTTATTCTGGCTGGACGTTGTCCAGTACTAGCCTGAGCATTTGTAATTCATCACCTGGTTCCTTTGACCCACGGGCTTGGGAACACGTGCCCCTCTTACCCACTTCAGAGACAGAGTCCTGTACACCACGCCACTCCTCAGTCACCATCAGTGACAATCAGTGTTGCAGATCAGCGCCCAGACACCATGTTAGCATACACTGTGCCTTGACTTCACCAGTCCCCTTACAAATCCCACTTCTTCCTTTTCAATACAGCTTTCATGTCTTTGTTTTCATCAGTTCGTCAGTCACAACCCTCCCAACACAGGATTGTCTAAGGAAAGCTCAAGCTTTGGCTCCTCATTGTAATTGCAAAGACAACCTCATTAAATACCCTTTTTATACTCTAAAATCTTTTCCTTCCTGACTTCAACTGACCTTTCCCCATCTTCCTTAGTCACAACTCTGATATTAGACCAGCAAGGTTGGGGGGAAAATACATTTCTCATCTCTCTTCAATGTGAAAAGATACAGAATAGCAAGCACAAAGCTGATCAGAGCTGAACCTTTGGGAGCAAAATTTTAATTACAAATTTTTTCTTTAGGAAAAAAAATTGTAATTCTGACTGAAGAAGGGCCCCGAGCATAGTGCTCATTGAGGCATAAAGTACATACCAGGCTCACACATCCATCATTTGAGTTATGAGTGGACAGAATAAAAATGAGAGCCCACCAATTAACGAGGAGATGTAAAAGAGCCTTCCCAGTTCACTTCAAACTTTTCCCAAATAATTTCTCTGGTCAGAGATGGAATATAGGAAATTTTTTTCCCCTCTGGAAGAGTTAAGGCATGCTTGAAGTTTTATTACTAATATTCATTTTAAAACCAGCCATTTTGATGACACCACAACAACCAGGAGTATAAGAGGAAGCTTTTAATTTATTCAAGCTATGCATTTAAATCAAGATGCAGTATCAGCTCCACTCAGGGAAATCAAGACCATTTGATAATGTTATTTCTGGTACAGAACAGACGGGCGTATGAAGGATAATTCTGTTTCAGAGAGCACTTGCGTAGCCAGAGCAGGGGACTGAGGAGGGCAGGGGGTGTTTAACCACACGTAGTCCTCACTTTCTTTCAGGTTTTAGAATAAATACAGACTAACCAATTGCTGCCAGGAATTCTTTAAATAAACAGGAAATCTGTGCAACAATGATAGATTTCAACAAGGGCAGCACAATGACAGGCATTTAAAGAGTTCTCTTCCTGCACGCGAGTTATATTTGGAGTTAATGGGTTTTACCTTGGGCAATTTCATGTTTTTGTAACATAATACTTCATTCTTTAAAAACAGTTCTGAATTTTAGTAGACTAGAGGGCAAAGCTGTGAATACACAAGGCAGCTTTTTGTTTTGTTTCCCGCCCCTCCATTCAAAGAAAATAAAAACTCTGATCACTTTCTCTAAACTCAAACAGAGACAGTGTTGGCATCTTTTTGGAAACTTCCTTTCCCATTCATGTCCAGCTAAACACATATCTCATCTATGACAGCTCTGTGAAAGGAAACTAGACAAGCCTACAGGAAGTAGAGCACAGTTTAATATTAAAAAAGCATGTAGAAATGTTCATGTAACTTTACCTGCAGATTTTTAATTTTATATAAACCATATTCTTAAATGTTATAATAATCATAAAAGGTGTTGGTGTCCTAAGCTTGCTGGCAAAGGAAAAGACAGTATTAGCCATGTAACTGAATATAGTAACAATCTTTTTTTGGTGTGTTAGTGTCTTTAGGGCCTACAAAATGTCAAGAGCTGGATATCAAGTGATGTTAAAAGATGTCATCACTACACATGGTTTCATATGTAATGAACTTGCATTTACTTACCTATTCACTTGAAAACAAACCTTTTCCTTTAGCAGATAAATAATATTTACCAAGCATGTATTACTTCAGCTCATGATTAACTGTTATCTTACCTCTCTCTGGAAGAAATTCCAAGCATGGGTCAGCCACTGGTACCTAGGCAGACCATAATTGGTCATCCTGGCTTTCAGCGTGATCATATCGGACCACTGCACTGGAACCTGGAGCAAGGAAAGAAAGGTGATTCATACAACAGACAGTTCGTTTCTGGCCCCAAACCCAGAACTTCCATCCTTTCTGAGATTTTTCCATTGCAGTGACCAAAATAATTTTGTATTCAAATAAAACAGGATAACAAGTGCTTCAATTTTTATGACATTGAGATTTTATAAGCTTTCATTAAAACAATCAAGAAAGTTTTTTGTATCCTTTACTTACAAATTAATGCACACTGGAAAAGGAGCTGCATTTTGGAGTGATTCGGAGATAGTTGGGTACAATTTGGTTACACCAGTACCAGATTTTTTACTTGGCATGATCCAAGTCATCAGGGATGGCATCTGTCTGCCCCAATTTAGGTATCTACCCGGTGTTGTCTTAGAAAGAAACAGGCAGTCGTACAGGGCAATTCATCTGAAGATAAATATTTTAAACACAGCAGATGAATCATTGCCTTGAAGTCTCAAATCCACTTCACCGTCTAAGGTGACAAACTTCAACAGCTAACTTCTAATATATATAATTAATTGAGAAGAATTCTACCCCATAAGTCTTTTTGGTGGCTTTCTGACTTTGCCTGGAGCCCTGCACGCATATATCCCAAATGTACCCAATTTCCGTATCCTGCTCAAGAACGGTAACAAGAAGAGTTAGACAAAGCGGGCCCGTTAACTTTTTTCTTCACACACATTCATGGACTTGTAAATCTTTTCTTCTCAAAGAAGGATTCTCGAAGTATTTTTCTTTCAAATTTGACTACTCAGAAGGGAGGAGCTGGTGCTTTCCATTGTCAGACTATGACCCTCAGTTAGAAACAGTATTTGTTAGAAACAACAGAAGTGCAGAGGCACCTGGCATACAGTGCAGTTAAGAATCAAGATAAGGCACTAACTTCTGCTCAGCAGCACAGACTTCAGTGTGACCAACTAAAACAAGGAGCTGAAGACTTTGCAGTTCCCCCTCCAGGCACACACACAACTCATGCTGATTTTTGCCTTGTTCCCATTAGCCTCAGTAGTCATGGTGAAAGAAATCATAACTGTAATATCAGCTTTCATTTGGAGGGTGGGGGAGCCCAGCTCCTCTGGGTGGCTGTGACATAGCTAGTCCATTCAATCTGAAACTAACAGTCAGGGCATTCTGCAAACAGCAACAAGAGTAACCTAAGGGAAAAAATATGATCATAATACTTTCCCCCAAGGAGCCTGGTCTTTGTCATGCTAGATGCTCTACCAAATTACAGGAACAGTCACCACCTGCCTGACCCCATAATCCAAGTAAGACCGTTTGATAATATTTCATTACCGCTGCTGTTATACTACATTTCTGATGCCCTGGTAAAGCTGCATATAGAATAAGCATTAATATACGAACGATGTTGCAGCAATTTAACACACCTTTCACTTAGCGTAATTCTTCTTTCTTGTGCTCTAAAGCATTGAACTCTCAATTGTCCATGTGAAAAATATGTTAGCAGTAGAGTACTAAAAATACTTTAAAATGGTATAACAGATTATTTCTACCACAATGTGCTGGTTTCAGGCAGGAAAAGAACTGTTGTGGTTTAGCCTTATCTAGCAATTAAGTACCACACAGTCACTTGATCCCCTCTCCCCCTTCAGGAAGAGACAAGAAAAGCTCATGAAGTTGAGCTAAGAACTATTTAATAATATAAATGAAAATTACACTGATACTAATAAGTAATTAAAATAATAGAAAATGTGATACAGTAGGCCACCACGTGCCCACCGGCACACAGGCACAGAGCCAGGTTCCACAGCAGCAAGCAGTCCCTACCAGAGAGCCCCAGAACAGGGACAAAACCAGAGGACCCCCCACACCCGCTAGCAAAAGAACCGGCCCTACCACAAACAACCCCACCAACAGCTAACAAAGGAGCTAACGACGCAGCTATCAAGCTAGCCCAAGTCTTACTGACCCCTTCCCACCTCAGAACTGCACATGTGCCCTAAGCCTGACCTACCACGGAATGAACAACTGAGCCACTCCGGACCAACCAGCACCTGCAGAAGAGGAGCCTGAAACCAGCACACGCATTTACAGCGGTCACCATAATAAAATAATTTGGTTCTGTACTCAGTGCATTTCTCTTTCCACTGAGTTGCAAGTTAGCACTCTGCTTTCTTTGGATAATATTTGATATCACTGCAGTTAAGCTCATTTTTGCTAGACTATTTTTTTTAATATCTTATTTGAGTTGAATACAGTCCAAGGTTATGCACGTAACGCAAGACGTCTAACTTCTTTATGAAAACAATAGAAAGCAGGAAAGAAAAAAAAAATTAGAAGTGAGAGAAGGAAATTAAAAGCAAATCAAAACAAACTATCCTTCACTGTAGGAAGGCACTTTGAATTCTGAAGTTAAGGAGGGATATCAGAATCTGTGTATTTGACTGCTCCTGGAATGCCAACATGCCAAACAAAGGACACCGATGTATCTACTAAATCGCTTCCCCTCAGCTCGTGCAGCAGTGAAAACTAATGATGATCCTGAGATGCATCTGCTTGACTATACCCCACCACTTTCGTGTAGTGTGTAGAGACACAAAAACTAGAGATGCTGGCTTGATTTTGGCATAAGTTCTGTAAAGCTCGGTTTGCTGCTGAAATCTACTTATTTTTCTAATGAGTATCAAGGCTTGACCAATGCCCAAGTAAGCTGAGGACCCACACTGTCTTTTCAATCGCGTGGGTGGAATATATTAGTCATGAGGCACGCACTTCATGCTGAGAGCTATCATGAGCTGGAAAGAAAATTGTTTATACAAGGACTCTTACAGCAACTTGTCCACACGCCAAGGAGATCCCATATTGGATTAGCAGAGGCGGTTATGCCTCGGTGACATTTTCGACAACATCACCCACCCACCTACACTAATGCCAACCGATTCTCTGAAACCCACGAGAGGCTCTTGTGATTTCATGCTATGCTGAAACGAACATGACATCAAGTCATCCCCATGGGTATGAGAGGGAATCTTCTTTATCAAGTAGAACAGGAGAAAGCATGCTCTAGGCAAGTGACCTGCCCAGGTATGAAAAAACCACTCAAAAACAACTGGGCTCTTCCAGACTGCCACATTCCCTATGGGTCTCAGCAGCAGGAAATCTGAGTCTGGGCCACCTCATCATACAAAGACCAGTAGAGTTACAACAAAGGGAATAAGAAGAGGAAATCAGACGGAAAGAGAAAACAAAAAAAAGCACAGGATCTTGAAGAGTAGTGACAAAAATAAACAGTTGCCCAAGAGATTCCCCCCCCCCACCCCGCCCCGTTATTTCTATGTGAATGCTTCTGCTGATTCTCTGAAACTCCTGGGAGAAAGAGGAAGAACCAGAGGAGGATGGTTCACTGTGACCCACTGCAGAAGGTGCAGACATGGAACTCAGCGCTATTTCTTTTGGCAAAAAGTCACAAAGACAGCTGTGGGTTTTTTCTGAAGGGATGCAGTGTCCCCAGTGCCTTAACATATGGTAGGGCTATGACAGCTTTTATGAAACTGCCCCTGGTTTGCATTTCAGTAGCACAGGAAGTAACTGAAAGCGCACTAAAAGACACCCATAACTTCAGGTTCTCCAGCTGGATAGTAAAGTCGTATACCAGTGCACTGAAGGCTATGTTATTTCAGGCAGCTTCCACTGACAAGACTTCTGTGAAACGATGGATGTTAGTTAGAACTGTCATCCTTGGCAAAACCTGCCCAGAGGGCAGCTGTGCCCACAGGATGAAGCATGCCTCTCGCCTGCGTTTCCATTTTTAAAATGCATTAACGTAAGCTGACATTTAAAGTAAAGGGATAGCCTTAATCACAACACTCCTCTGGAATCTGTACGGCAAAGGAATGAATGCTGATGCAAAGGACTGCCACATAACTTCAGACTTCAAATTTGCCAGAAATTCCTTTGGTCTCAGTACCATGTAAATACCAAGAAGGCTCCCTCCCTTACTACAACGGAATTGCTGCACACTGTTGGAAAGACCAATATACTGGGCATATCTTGGCAGCTCAGAGAAAATGTTTGTCGCTCTATTCATGAAAATGTAGCAGGCTGAGTACAAGACATAAGGATATAGCAGCCAGCAGAATAACATCTCAGTTTAATTTCTGTTCAACACTTACCCATTTTCTTGTGTGATCGTTACAAGTCTTCAGTTTGAAAATTAAAGGTTGATACAGCTATAAAACCTAGACAGAGATAAAACCTCTTCACAAGTTTACAGAACAGTGTTTTATAGCTAAGATGTGTTTTGCTTAAAACTGGCATTTACAGCTTGTTGAGGCAGCGCACAGATCTCAGCAGACAGAAAGTCCTCTACTGAAAGAACACACTGTTTACAGCGCAGTACACTCAGCTATAGCTCTTTAAAACGTAAAGAGCTTTTGGGGCACAACCCCTTCAAACTCTTGCAAAATACATAAGTCTGAGGTTCATATTTTATCCTCAAAACTTCCACTGACCTTAATCAGAACCTGTCTAAGCAAGAATTACCTAAAAATAAAGTCTTTAAATCAGGGGCTGCAGGATTTGGCTCTCAAATACAGAACGGGTAGGAAGAAACCCAGATAGGGCCTTCCAGACAGACAAGCTTTCCCAGAAGAATTCTCTGTTTAAAAAAAAAAGTCACATGAAATTAGACTGTTGAAATAACGAACGAAGATAAACACTACAGCAATTAGAAAAGAGCTAGCTAATGGAAATATGTGTTTTCTTCTGTTGAAAAAATGCAGCCTCCCTTTCTGACTCACCGTTATTTCCTGCTCGTAGGTCCAAACACCACAGGCCAGTTCAACACAGAATATTACAAGCAAGCTTCCAAAGTACTGCAGAGAAGAGAATGGTCTCAGTTATTTTTGATATATTCAGGTTAACTTTAAAAAAAAAAATTAAAAATATTAAGTCTTATTAAGTATTAATATTAAAGGACGTTTCAAAACTCCATTAACTTTTCACGTGACTCAAGACACGGAATTTGAAATACATTTTTGTAACCAAGATGTCAAAGATTCATGCAACAAATTTTCTAAAATTTTGTCATGTGACATTTCTTACTGACTTAACAAGAAGCATATGAACATTACTATTAGGAAACAAATTCATTTTCCTGTTGCCCAAGTATACAAGTGAAATATTATGGTACAATACTTGCAAAAGAAGACACTTTTTTCCTTCATATATGTGGAAAAAAGAAATATTGTTTTGTTCACCTCTATCCATTTAAGCAACATATCTGATCTAATAGCCAAAAAGGGGAATAAATAATTTTTTTAATAGAAATAATTGACAACAAGAAAATAAACAAGGCTCTTGAAAGTTGCATTCTTATCAAAGTCATTTAGGTATCTGAGGGCAGGCACAAATATATTCCAATCCATGTCAATAAATATCTGTACCTTTGTCTACTGCAAGATCTGAATCTTGAACTATTTAAAATAGAAAATATGTGTATAAATGAAGCAGCTGTGCAGGTCTTTGTAATAAGAGTTTAAATAAATGGTTGCTACAATTAAAAGGAGTATCTGAAAATCCTTCCTGAAATGCAGGGTAAAGCAGCGTGGAAATTAAGACTGCTTTAACTGGTTCCCTCTATTAAGAGTAAACCATTTATCTTTTATTTCAAGCAAATGCATAGTTCTGTCCATTCTCGACTCCAAACTTCCTTCCACGTCAGTGAACTGTGCTCTCCCTTGTTCTCCGTGCATAAGACCCAAAATTACAATCTTCATGGATTTCATTTTATTTAGAAACCAGAAAACCACCATCACAATATAAAATAGAGTAGAATAAATTGGTAGGATACATGCCAAAAGTGGTCCTAATTTAGTCATTTAATTCTGAAATGTATTTAGGGCAGGTTTAAAAAAAGAAAAAAAAAAACCACAACACACCACAAGCCACAAAACACGTACTGAAGGTAACTGGAGGGGTTTTTTTTATATATTAAAAGGTCAATAAAATGCATTATTTAAAATAGAGAAAATAAATCCAGAAGTGCTAGGATTTAAGAGTCATCTACGAGGCACCTTTATCATTCACCCAGTCTGGAATCGAGTAATTCAGACATACCTTAGCAGCTACTGAACAGTGTCTTAACTTCTACTTGCCGATCAGCTCTAACTCCCTGAATTAGGTTTGCAGATGCAAACAGTCAAATTAAAAACATGCATGTAAAAATATTCATGTGAATTTCCAAGAGAAACCTGTATTCATACACTCCCCTAGCAAAGGTGTGTTCAATAAAGATGGTGTTAAAAGAAGAGGTCCTGTTTTACCAGTCTCCACCATGTTACATTGCATCTCTAAAGTCATTAGACCTGATATAATTGTAAGCACACGCAGAGCTCCAGTACAGGACTTCAATAACTGTGCTGGTTTTAGTTGGGGTAGAGTTAGTTTTCTCCACAGTAGCTAGTATGGGGCTGTGTTTTGGATTTGTGCTGAGAATAATATCGGTAACATTCATGTTTTTAGTTGTAGCTAAGGAGTGTTTGTACCAAGCCAAGGAGACTTTCAGTTTCTCATGCTGCCCCTGTGCTCCCAGCTTCATCTTTTACAAGAAGCTGGGAGGGGACACAGCCCAGAGAGCTGACCCAAACTGACCAAAGCGACACTTTACACCATCAAATGTCATGCTCAGTATTTAAGCTGGGGGAGTTAGCCAAGAGGGAAAAATCACTACCCAGGAACTGGCTGAACACTGAAAGCCAGTTGCTCTCCTTTTTTTTTTTTTTTTTTTTTTAATCGCATACTATCAGTAGTGGTATAGAATCATAGAATGGTTTGGGTTGGAAGGGACCTTAAAGATCACCTAGTTCCAACCCCCCCGCCATGGGCAGGGACATCTTCCACTAGACCAGGTTGCTCAAAGCCTTGTCCAGCCTGGCCTTGAAGACGGCCAGGGATGGGCATCCACAGCTTCTTTCACTTACTTTCAATTATTAAACTGTTCTTATCTCAACCTACAAGTTGTCTTATCTTTTTCCTCCAATTCTCTCACTCATCCCATGTAAGTGAGCAGCTGTGTGCTGCTTAGTTGCTTACTGGGGCTAAATCACAACAATAACCAATACATCCATCCTCCAAATGTCCCGAAGAGGAAAAAAATTGCATTGTACCTCATAAGAACAATGATGCTTTCTCTAAAATAAATTCATGCGCTTCTAGACAACGTATCCACTATCACTGTGGTACCTGCAAGTTATGCAAAGGTTTCTTTAAAAAAAAACACGGAAATCTACTTTGCAATTTACTTGGAACAGAAGAAAGAATGCCACATGCTTTAGCTTTCTTAATTCATATCAATATTGTCCTTAAGGATTTTTTGCATAATAATGACATTTTTGAGGAGAAAAATTAAAAGTTGTGAAAAGCAAATCTGAGTTCTCAGCTGTCAAAGAAAGTTTCAGTGGTTTTATACTCTGAAAAACAAGCCTGGGACTGCCTGCTATCCCCAAATCTTACACAAAACTCAATGATGAGGTGAAAGTAATACATCTGGGGTGTATGTACAGCATTTTCTGGAAAACTCTTAACTTGCAGTTCCCTGTAATATTTCATTAATTCACCAACTTTAACATTTGAAACTTCCTCATTTTTTCAGCACATAGTTAAGAAAGTTTGTGGTTGCAGTTGGAGACAAAAGAGCCAAAACCAAGATTTTTCCTGGTTACTGAATATAGCCTGGGATACAAAATTATTTAGCCAGATTCACTCAAAAACCACTTCTGGGTCTGCCAGGAATTGAGCACTCCCAACCAGCTACATCTGCACACATCAGGACCCTGAAGAATCAAGCCTTCTGTCCTGAGAATGCAAATCTTCTGTCCATAGGGCAAAAGACAAGAAAAGACACAAAAAGTTTACACACATGAAAGTACACACTAGGAACAGAGAAACTGCAGGCAGACCAAGCTCACACACAGGAGCTTCAGTTTCACTCTGCTGTTGAATGGCAATATTATACCTCTCTAAATATAATGGTTTGCAAAACAAATAATTCTTATACAGATTGTGTGGGGAAAAAACCCTCTAACCATTATGTAAATTTATTACCCTTAATTTCCATCTTCCAAATACAGAAATTATTACTGGCTTCAGTGCTTATTCCTTGTCCCCAGTTAAATTCCCACAGGAGTCTGAATGCTAAATGCATCTTCCTGCAGTTATACACTTCTGCTTTTTTCCAGCAACAGGGACTTGGTTTTGAAGCAAGGTTTAATATTTCTTCCTATGGACTGAGTGGCTACATTCTGTAACGGAGACAAACTCACTAAGGAGCACTATTGTGCACTACGCTCAAAACTGCGCCAGCAGGTCACTGATATTACCTCCTAAGCACACCTCCCTCAGAGCACTCTTGGTATTGCTGAGATGTTTTCTACTGATTGGTTTTTTTGTTGGGTTTGGTTGCTTGGTTGGTTTTGGGTTTTTTTTTTTTTGGCAGAGAGAGGGTAGGATACAGGAAGACACAGAAGGGAGTGAACGGTTATCTACAGGTTATCATAAAATAAAAAAACTAGAAGCAATTAAAGCAAAGCTACAATCACTTCAAGAACTAGAGACCTTTTACATGTCAAATCCTACAGACTTAACATTTCTCTTTTGTAGGCAACTGCTAATCACTATCATTCCTTCCCTAGTCAGACTATGCAAACTAATGAGAAAATTGAAGTGGTGCCTTCATCCTGTTACAAACCCACTGGTGTCAGGTTCACTGAAGGATTTCCTCCAGCAAGGTTGTGAAAAAGCTAAAACGTTGCTTCCTTGAGAGCCTGTGAATGACTGAAATGCCAGTAGAAAACACTCTTCTCACAGGTACAAATCAACGTAAAACTATTTGCCAAGCAAAAAAAAAAAAAAAAATAATGCAGTAGACATTTATTGCTCCTCACTGAGTCATGGACACATATGTGGCCAAGATGCTAAACTTCAGCATCCTTGCAGTGGCAAATGGATGTTGTCAATTAGCAGGACCTGGTTCTCCAGCAAGCCCCTCCTTAAGCTTGCTCACCCCCACTGGCCACAGGGGAGGGAGGAAGGCAGCAGTGCAATAAAGCAGTAGCTTTCCAACAGGAGCATCTCTGCTAATGCCTGGAAAAGGCACAAGCACCTGGATTTTTTTTTTGCAGTAGGTGTGTGTGGCTCCATCCTCACAGCTGGAGCACTGACAGCCTGAGGAGGCTTAAACAACTGTACTTTTCTAGCACATCAGTCCTGAAACAGAGGTGAAGGAACTGGGGACTCTGGAGTTCAAGAGAATCATTACACCAGAAATTAATCTAAGAGCAGAAGAGGAGAATCAAAGACCCAAACACATTCCCAGTCATGCTCTCTGGATCTCGCTCATACCAAATGTGGTATGATCATTCTGTTGACAGAAGTACGATTTGGAAGCAAGAGTATAGACAACTCATGAAAACACAAACTGAGATAGGGTTCTGTGGCAAACCAACTGTCAGAACTAGAAAGGCACAGGAGTGGCTTGATTCATCTTTTTCCTCCCTCAAACCATTTGGTTTGCATGTTGCATGATGCTCCTGCTACTGGGATTAGGACCTTATTTCATCTGTTCTCACAACTTCCTGGTTAACTACTGTTATCATAGAAAGCCTGGACTTCACAGTCTACTAAATTCATACCTAGAGAACAAATACATCCCAGCCCACAACACACTCAAAATACTGGCTTCTTAAGCCCACTTCCAGACAGAGAAAAGCAAGAGAAAGCACTACTTGAGAAAGCAAGAAAGCATTCTGTATATGAAAGGAGTGGCAATCATAGAACCACAGAACGGTTTGAGTTGACCTTAAAGACCATCTAGGTC